ATATCAATATTACATAACAAAAAGATTGCTAAAGTTTTAGAAAGGATTTGAATGATATATTTTCTTTGAGATACCCATATACTCATGTTAATTGCATCACTGCTCACAAATATTAAAATTACCAAATCAGCCTCTCTAGTTTTTTATTCTATATTTAATCAAACATGGATTAACTCATGTTATTTTAGGAAATTGCATGGAGCTACAGATTATCATGGTACCTAAAATGAATCAACGTCTAAGGTCAAATATAATTTTCTTTTATAAGTGAGGAAATAGACATGTGAAGTTAAAATGGACCCCCAGGCTGAAGTGAAGAATAAAATGTACAGGTAAGTAAGAAGGGGTCTAAAAAGAAGAAATACATGTAATTATCCCAGTAGAACCCTCCTATTCCAAATACATCAAAATGAATCAATGTAAAAAATGACCACATGGTGAATTGAAATTTATCATTCAGCTTTTAGAGAATTCATTAATATTGGACTCTAGTTTCCTAGAAATGGTTAATGTAGGGGATGCTATAGCCATGCCTGCTTAGGGGCTGGCTACAGGTGTCCCTGACCACACCTGCAAGGGCATGGTCAGGGTGATGTAAGGAAGGTTTCAGAGTGAGGAAACTCACGTGGCACCCCTTACTTTCACTTTCATCTCCAGCTTGCTGTATTTACTGCTGCCCTTCCAGCTGGCTAGGTCACTTTATAAGTAAGGCTTTTCCCGAATAAATTCCTTTGTATTCTTACGTGGCTCTGAATTAATAATTTCCCACATTATCTGGTTGTCAGGAGCAGGATATTGTAAACCTAGGCCCCATTTGGGAGAGCCCCGGGGTCCTACCAGAACAGAGGACTAGCTGGCTGGGAAAACGCTCCCTTTCTCCACAGATGCTCCTAGCTCACAGCTGACCCCCTTTGTCACAGAAGTGCATTCCCACTGCTGCTGAGCCACTCAGAACAGTCTGCCCAGCTGGGAGAGTTCTCCAGACCTCCCCACGATTTTACCGCCACAGTTTCTAGCTGTGCATGCACAGGACCAGCCAGATTGCTGCCTGCCTGTGCCCAGAGGCCTCCTGCCCTTGAGCTGATTAGACCTTGGGAAAGGTGTAAGCTTTTAGCAGGTCCCACAGCTTCCCCTAGCTGCAGTGGATATAAAGCTGTGCTGCTTTTAGTGGTTGCAGCCACAAGGCCATACACTTCCAGCTAAGCCCAGCCACTGTCTTTGTGACCTCAGCTCAGCCACCACCACCGTCATCTTGCCTGACGGACTGCTGCCACAGGCTGCGTTGACTAGCTGAATGTCTTCGCCACCTGCTGGCCAAAGATAGTTACTGCATCTGGAGTGGAAATCAGGTAATTTCATGACGGAATATTTATTATTTTCTACAATTGGTAATATCTTTGCTTATTACATGAATTCAATGTTCGAGGAGGATGCTGATCTGCCAGTTAACTGCTTATATGCAGTAATGAGAGTTAGCTTGCTGGTACAAATAACATTACTAGCTGGAAGTCTCATGAACAGGGACAAAGATAACCTCATCACCTGCTTACAGGAAATAACAGCTTTATGCAATGAGGTTTTGGAGAACAGATTAGGTCAGGCCACAATTGTGCAGCAAGTGGAACAGAAGTTGGATTATAAGCTTGGCTCTGTGTCCAACATGCTAAAGACAGCTGTCTGTTACCCAAGAAGAAATGCAGAGTATTTATGATAAGATAAACACATAGAGATCTTCCATGTCTGAGGCTTTAGTGGCTAGGCTGTCAGAGGACCATGACTAACTAAACATCTGCAGCCAGCTAGAATCTCAGATAGGCACTGTAATCCAGAAACTAGATGCAAAGATGCAAAATACCCAGAATAGGGTCTATGAATTGGAGAATGTCATTCAATCAATTAGGGAAGCATATAAGGTAGCAGATCAAAATTTGAGTCTAGATTTGAATGTTTGGAAAATAATTTATAGAACATGGCTGAAATATTAGATATGTCCATACGGTCAATTGCTGAGGATTCAAGATGAGCAAATCATGACCTCAAATCTAGACTCCAATACATAGAAGGCAGTTTTCATACTATCCAGATGCTGTCTAAGGACAAACATATTAAAGACCTAGAAAAAACATGTAGAGGAGCAGTTAGAGTAATTTACAGATTCACTAACATGCTTGGAATATTTATGATTCAGGAAATTGAAACTTTTCATGAGGATAACATTACTAGGCTTAAAGATCATTGGGATGCCTCAGAGACAGAATCACTCCACTCTGAGGCACCTACTCCACCAAGGTATCATGACTATTCTTCTAACATTGTTACTCATACATCATCAGTGTACCCAGCTAACATGGTAGAAAAGCCACCTTGTAAGATACACCCTCAGGGACAGATTGCTTATGTATGGCAGTCTATACAGCTGAAGGATCTTGAGAATATTAAAGAATCAGTTGTCTCATATAGTCTCCATAGCCCATATGTAAAACAGCTATTACATTCATGGGCAACCTTTAACAGGATAATGCCCATGGACTGGGAAAGACTGGTGGCAGCTGTACATGAGAATTCATGCCAAATCCAGTGGAAGGCATTGGTGAGGACAGCAGTGAAGCTCCTTGAGTGTCAGGGCATAAAGGAAGGTTTTGAAGCCCTCCTAGATAAGATTCTTGGTGAGAGTATTTATGCTAACCCACAGGCTCAGGCTGAATATAACACCATATACTGTTGCTATGGATGAAAGCAGCATTAAACACCTGGGATAAGGTTCGTGTGCCAGGAGAACACCTAGACTCTTATACCAGGATAGAACAGGGACCCACAGAACACTTCCAGGCCTTGTTACAAAGGATAACAAGGGCAGTAGAATTACAGGTAACAGATCCAGAAACAAGACAATCAATTATATATATCCAATAGCTTATGAAAATGCAAACCCAATATGCAAAAGAATACTTTTGCCTTTAAGATCAGATCAGCTTCACTAGAAGAATTTGTTTGTCATGCAGCCAACATTGACTATAATGTGCAAGATACTGAAACTTAGGTAGGCCAAGCCATCTTAAAAGGTTTAAAAAGGCATCAGGAGATTAAAAGTTCTAGAAATGAGCACACAAGGGCCTGGGAAGGAGAAGCGCCTTACAGAGGTCAACATAGGTACCAAGAGGCCAGAGTTTATCACTACTAAGCACCAGAACCTTGGGTAGGAAGAGCCTTCCTCATCAGACCACAAAGTGCCAGGAACCTAGATGTTTCAGCTGTGGTACAATGGGACATATTAAGAGAAATTGTAGACAAAGGAATTTCAACAATGCCTTATATGGAAGGCCACTGCCTTCTGGATTGCGTAGAAGATGTTTTAAGGGCAGACACTGGACCAATGAATGTAGATCGACCAGGGACATGCAAGGAAACCAGTTAAGGCCGGGAAACCCCAGGGGGGCCTCAAGAAGTCCCCATATCAAGAAAGGTCCGGTTGTCCCAGTAGCAGTGGAAGACAATTTCTCACAGGATGAATAGACAGTTCTTTGCCTTTTGTAAAAAATAATACTGCTCTAGATGGTTGTTTAACTAGCAATGAAAATCAAATCTGACTGGACAAAATGAGAAACGCATATTTTGGCAAACTTCTATTAATGATAAAAGACCTCAGTTGAAAGTGAAAATTAATAATAAAGTTATTACTGGCTTAGCAAACATAACGGGCATATGTGCATATTATTACCCAAAATACCTGGCCTCAGAAATGGCCTATTAGAGGGGCGAATGTACAATTTTGAGGAATTGGAACTCTATTGAGAGTTTGACATAGTGTTCACTTCGTGGTCTGCATTGGACCAGAAGGACAGAAAGGGAGACTGAAACCATATTTGGCAGATATATCTATAAATCTCTGGGGTCGTGATTTCTTACAGCAATGTAATACTCAGATTAATATTGCTCCAGTGTTGGATACAAATTATGTACAATCTTTAGATAGTAGAAAAGATCTGGTATGATGCTTTGGAAAACAGTTACCAACCATCCAGGATGTACAGAAACAAGGAACAAATGATAGAACTTCAGAGGAGCCAAAGGCCCTGCCATTGCAGTGGTTTACAGATGAACCTGCTTGGGTAGGACAATGACCTATGACCTCTGAGAAGCTAGAGGCTTTAGAAAAGTTAGTGTAGGAACAGCTAGAGGATGGACACATAGAGGTATCTACCAGCCTTGGAATTCTCCTATAATTGTTTTCAAAAAGAAGTCAGGTAAGTGGAGAATGCTGACAGACCTGAGAACCGTAAATAAGGTAATTCAAACAATGGGCTCTCTGCAACCTGGAATGCCATTACCTTCCTTGATACCTAAAGGGTGGCCAATCATAGTCATTGATCTGGAAGACCGTTTTTTCACAATACCATTACAGGAAAACGATAGAGAAAAATTTGCATTTACTGTACCATCTCTTAATAATTCACAGCCAGTTAGGAGATACCAGTGGAGGGTTTTGCCACAAGGACTGCTAAGTAGTTCTACTTTGTGTCAACACTTTGTACAGCAACCTTTGAAAATAATTTGTAAGAAATTTTCATAATGTCTTGTTTATCATTACATGGATTATATTCTTTTATCAGATTCTAATAAGGAGAACTGGGAATGTATATTTGACATGGTGAAGGAAGTTCTGCCTCATTGGGGGATAAAGATAGCCCCAGAAAAGATACAAAGAGGAGATTCTATTAACTGTTTAGGTTATAAGATAGACTTACAAAGAATCAGACCTCAAAAGGTACAAATTAGAAAGGATCGTTATCAAACTTTTAATAGTCTTCAGAAGCTGCCAAGGTAAATTTCTCAATTACAGACGTTTTTTGGGGTAGAAGTGCATGACTTAAAGCATTTAAAAAGTGTCCCTTAAAGGTGATAAGGACCTAAAGAGTCCAATAATATTATTCGCGGAGGCAGAAAAAGAGTAACAATGGGTAGAAAAGAGAATATTGGATGCACATGTAGATCAGATATACCTTGATTTAGGCTGTATCCTGGTTATCTTGCCATCCAGAGAATATCCTTCTGGGATTCTGAAGCAGAGGGAAGACACCATATTGGAGTAGATATTTCTGCCACATAAACAGAATAAAAAGTTAAAGACAAATATAGAAAAGATTTCTGATTTGATTTTAAAAGGCAAATTAAGACTCCATCAACTGACTGGAAAAGATCCAGCAGAAATTATAGTACCTTTAACTAATGAAGAAATTTCCTCCTTATGGAAGGATAATGAATAATGGCAAATAGGTCTTACTGACTTTTTGGGAACAATTAGCACCAACTATCCCAAAACTGACAGAATTAAATTCATAAAAGACAGTCTGGATTCTTCCATGTATTGTAAGACAAACTCCAATTTCTGCAGTTCTTACCTTCTACACTGATGCCAACAAATCTGCTAAGGCAGATTATAAAGCAGGTGAAATAAGTAAAGTAGTTCAAAGTCCATATAAATCTGTACAGAAGGCAGAATTATATGCAATTCTCATGGTACTCATGGATTTTAAAGAACCTCTTAATATAGTTACTGATTCTCAATATGCAGAGAGAGTTGTGTTACACATTGAGCCTGCAAAATTCGTTCCAGATAATACAGAATTAACTTCACTGTTTATACAATTACAGGAAACAATCAGAAACAGAAATAATCCTATGTACATTACACAGCTCAGATCCCATACGGGTCTGCCAGGCCCACTATCACAAGGCAATGATGAGATTGATCGATTATTAATTGGAATTGTACTAGAAGCCTCAGAATTTCATAAGAAACATCATATAAATAGCAAATGTTTGAAAAAGGATGTCTCCATCACTTGGCAACAAGCCAAGCAGATAGTGAGAAATTGTCCTACTTGTTCCTTTTATAAACAAATTCCATTGCCAGCATGCTGTAATCGTAAGGGCATTTGGAGAAATGATGTTTGGCCCATGGATGTCTTTCACTTTGCAGAATTTGGAAATTTAAAATATGTACATCATATTGTAGACACATTCTCAGGGTTCCAATGGGCTACTGCTCTTAACTCTGATTAAGCTGATTCTGTTATTACACACCTGCTAGAGGTGATGGCATTTATAGGTATACCTGAACAAATAAAAACTGACAATAATCTAGCATATGTCTCTACAAAATTGGAACAGTTTTTCAAATATTATAGCATAAATCATGTCACTGGTATACCACACAATCCTACAGGACAAGCAGTGGTTGAGAGATCTAATAGGACACTAAAGGAGATGTTCCATAAACAGGCTTGGAAGACAAAACCCCCAACACATAGGTTACATAATGCCTTATTTACACTAAACTTTGTTAACTCCAATGAGAAAGGACAAACAGCTGCAAAAAGACACTCGTCTATGGGGAAAAAATTGATGAACTGAATCAGCCGGTATACTTCAAAGATGTGCTAACCTCTGTATGGAAACCAGGGCATGTGTTATGATAGGTTAGGGGATTTGCATTGGTTTCCACAGGAGAAGAAAAACTTTGCATACCATCAAAGTTGATCAAGATTTTAGTTGAAAAGGTAAAACATCTCAACCAGGAGAAATGACAGGTATCCTACTAAGGTATGTCTCATAAACTAAATAGAAACCTCCCAAAGGAAAGGGAAGTGTTTTGCTTTTATCTTCACAGAAAAACGCATCTCAAAAAGTTCAAGAGCACTACCTGGGTAGATACTTAAGAGAAGGTAACTATAACCATAAAAAAAGGAACATGCCATATGGTAAACTTTATAGCTGTCTCTCAAAGAACTCTATTTATCTTTATTTCCTAGTCCCTATTCAGTTAAACCAATGCTGGATTTAGAGGTAGATTTGGCTTTCCTCCTCTAAAATCCAACCACGTTGTTTAACTAAACTTTAGAGTTTCTGTATTGTATCAAGAAGCCAATTGATGTAATACAGACTAAGAGAAGAATTTGGGGACTGTCTTTGTCTTTTCTTAGTTGTTTCTTTCAAGGTGTACACCCTCTCATAATTGCTATGCTCCTTTGGTTGCCTTTTCTAGTATGCAATCTTACATAAGCAAACATTTCTTTGCTAACATTTATGTTTTGAGCCCCTCACAGCCAATGAAGACCTGCCTGACAGCAATCCCTGGACACCCTGGAGAGAAAATCGGCCATACCTCCTTGACTGCACTGGATCCAACTTGCTCCATTTCAATGGATACTCTGGCTTGATCTTCAATCAAGCGAATCCCATCTAACATGGATTGGATACAATCCATTCAAGACTTTCACTGTACTAACATTTTCTTCCCACAGGACCCCACAAGGCTATTGTCATCCCATTTCAGCAGGAAGTAACTTGGAGGTTGCTGTGCCCACTTTCCCCCATTGTTCACTTTGAATAGTGTATATAACTAGTTAGGGATAGCTTCTTATTGTTTATGGTTGGGATTGGAAGGAAGTGTTTAGACTTAGACACCTCTTTCAGATGACTTTAGGGTATAGTTAAAATAGGCATAGTTAGGATGTGACATAAGCAGATTGTTGTTTCTTCTTATATTTCACCTTTATGACTGTTAATTTTGGATACTTTTCACTGTTAAGTTTTAATCCTCTTTTAGACTAAAATGGGAATTGTAGGGGATGCTGTACCCACCCCTGCCAAGGGGCTGGCTACAGGTGTTCCTGACCATGCCTGCAAGGACATGGTCAGGGTGATGTAGGGAAGGTTTAAGAGTGAGGGATGCTCATGTGGTGCCCCCTTCTTTCCCTTTCATCTTCGGCTTGCTGTATTTACTGCTGCCCTGCTGTCTGCCTAGGTCACTGTGTAAGTAAGGCTTTTCACTATTAAATTCCCTTGTATTTTCACCTGGCTCTGTATTGGTAATTTCCCACATGAGGTTAAAATATCTGAGAATTACTGCATATGATGGAGAACTTAAAGATTATAGGCCTATTAGATATAAGTCGATAGATGAAAAATGGATGAGTAGCTAGATGATAGATAGATGATTGATAGATATTAGTTAGATAAATAGGTAAGTAGATAGATAGATTATAGATAGATAGACAGATGAGCATAAAACAAACACTAAGCTATAATTTTAAAAAGTCACTATTTCTAAAGCAGTTAGAAGGAGTCTTAAGCCACTTCATTTAATTATTACAACAGAATGCAAAATATATAGAAGCAACATGTATATAAAGTTTGAACTGAAGAGCTCAATAGGAGCCCTGATTTATATATATCAGAGAAAACAAGGTCATTCTGTTCTGGTATTGACAAATTAGAAATTTAAAGCAAATAAAACATTGAGAAATTATAAGAATGGATGTTATAAACCTATAAACCATAATTAACTTATTAACATATAATAAATATCCATCTGAAAACCAAAGCATTGATAATATTTAAAAATAACAAGGATGGGATTGTAGACATCAGGTGACATATCCATTCAATCTATCATTCAGAGCTGGAATGAAAATTTCATATTATTAATATCCCATAGAAATTCAGAAAAGCAGAACTAATTAGAGTTGAAATTAATTGTGGAATGAATCCAAGTCTTTCTACTTTACATAATTAGTTTCTTTTTCTTGTATTCTGTGAGATATACCTAAATAGGCATGTGTTTGAAGCACAAGCAGGAAGTCCATGCACCCAGCTAAACCTGGGTGTGATGACACATGCCTATGATTCAAGAGCAAAGGAAGATGACAGAGGATCCCTGGGGTTTGTTATGCAGTAATTATATAAATCATCAAACTACAAGTTTAGTGAGAGGGCCTTTATAAAAACATAATGAGGACTAATTGTGAAGATCCTCAACAGCAAACTTCACTCTAGCAGAATACATGTACACACACTTGAATTTCTGCACGCAAGCGATAATCACCTCCCCTTTCTGTAACTTATAAACCTGAATATATCGACACACCAAAAAAAGAGTTTTTCTTAGTTGTTCTTTATTCATGTACTTAAGTACACATATACAGTTTGCCTAAAAGATAGGTTGATAATACAAAAATAAACATAGATATTTTGCTATATGTATAGTGTTTATATTTTGAAACTAATTTAATTAAACTTATCTTTGGAGAAGCCACCAAAATGCATCATATGATCTGGAGTGGTCTCTGATTGAAAGAACAACTTTAAAGTTGTAACAATATAAGTGGTGAAAAGCTATTTTCAAACCAATTAAGTTTTACTTTGATGTAATACAGCAGCATTCCACATGAAATTTCTTAAATGATTAAAACTTAATACCAAGTTTAGTAAATGGGACATCCTGAGAAGGAGTGGCTCTTGCTATGTCTGTATTTTATTAGTGACACTGGGCTTTTCAGAAGTGACAATTAATATTCATATTTATGAGTGACAATACAAGTGAGGTTTTTATTAACAGCAGTGGTTTTAAAAATGCTTCAAGTTTTGTTTTTAAAAATAAAACATGGAGAGCTGGAGAGATGGCTCAGCCATTAAAGGCTAGGCTCACAACCAAAAATAAAACATGGGCATTTTTTATATAAAGCTTAAAACACATGGATTCCACAATCCAGCAATCCTTCACCTAGTTACTTTTGAATGATCAGAATATTTCCCAAAAAATGTTATATGCTGTGAATAATTGTGGAAGTTTCTTTAATTATGGACCATATTGTGGAAAGAACAGAAATGTGAATAAAATAATTATATTTATTGAAACAATGAAAGAATATAACTTAAAATGGACTAAGTCAAAGATACATACATCATGGATGAGATTTATTCTCTTTGAGCAGAGAAATAGAACACAACTCACCCACTGGTTTACTCACAGTGAAAAAAAACAACGTTGGATAAGCAGTATCACAAGGGAAATGGTTCATACTTTAAAGTATTGTTATAATAACAGAGGTGCAGGCTTCATGGGTGGAAACACTTGTCAAAAGTTAGCAGACTGTGTGCATATTCTGTGTGAATCTTACTCTCCCTATCTATTACTTAAAATAAATAGCTGTAAATAGAAATTATACAGGCTTAGGCAATTTTTCTCACCGTTCTTCACAGCAATTATGTAAAGCAATAGCAAAAAAAAAAAAAAAAAAAAAAAAAAAAAAAAAAA